GTTCACACAGGTGAAGAGCGCATTAGGAGACCGGCGGCTGAAAAGTAGGTCAATCAAAAACATGACCAACACCTGTGTCTTTGCAGTGATTGGGATGGAGAGAGTGACCAAAGAGGGATATGAAAGAGCCGAGTCTGAGAGCTACCTTTTTGGGTTTGTTTGAGACAGGGGTGTCCAAACTGGGTCCTGGAGGGCTAGTGTCCCACTGAGTTTAGCTCTAACACGCCTGCCAGTGTAACGGGGGCCAGCTAGTCAAGTGCTGTGCAGGTAAACCTCACTCCTCTGACCTCTAAAGGTGCTCTAGACGCTAGAGGCCATGGTCTTTAGCCTCCTTGTTAGAGCACCCGACTCCCATGCGTAATGTCGCCGGTTCGATCCCAGCTCGGAGCGGGTTGGGTGGCGTAGGACCAGCAGGGTTACACCAGGAAGTTTCTAGTACATCTAGCAAGAGCTTGATTAGCTGGTTCAGGTGTGTTTGATTAGGGTTGGAGCTTAATGCCGCAGTCACACTAGAGTTTGAGCATGCAAAATTCTGTCGTACGTCGCTGCGAAAAGGGTGGGCTTAAATAAGATGATTAGACACTAAAAAAAGCGAGTGATTGGTCCATGTTTTAAATTTCTGTCTGGAGAGCTCATGATTTGAACCTCGATTGGTCTCACGCAATCAAATGATGCGATTTTGCAGGTCAGAGTTCACCAAGATGAAACTTTCCAATGCAGCAAACTGCAAAACTTGCTGCACGACCTTACGTTACCCCTCTGATGCATTCGCGTGCGTATGAATGCAAGTCTATGGGGAGAATAATGCAGTGTAACCGCAGCTAAACTCTCCAGGACACTGGCCCTCCAGGACCGAGCTTGGACACTCCTGTTCTAGTATATCTAGTAAGAGTTTGATTAGCTGGTTCAGGTGTGTTTGATTAGGGTTGGAGATTAATGCCGCAGTCACACTAGAAGTTGGTCTTGCGAAATTCTGTCGTACGGCGCTGCTAAAAGGGACGGGATTAAATAAGATGACTGGACATTAAAATAAGTGAGTGATTGGTCCATGTTTTAAATTTCTGTCCAGAAAAATTTGAACCTCGATTGGTCTCACGCAATCATATGATGCGATTTCGCGGGTCAGAGTTTACCAAACTTGAACTTTCAAATGCAGTGAACTGCGAAATGTACTGCACGACCTTACGTTTCTGGTCTGACGAATTCGCATGCACATGAATGCAAGTCTATGGGGTGAGAAGTGCAGTGTGACCGCAGCTAAACTCTCCAGGACACTGGCCCTCCAGGACCGAGTTTGAAAACCCCTGTTCTAGTATATCTAGTTAGAGCTTTATTAGCTGGTTCAGATGTGTTTGATTAGGGTTGGAGCTTAATGCCGCAGTCACACTAGAAGTTGGTCTTACGAAATTCTGTCGTACGGCGCTGCTAAAAGGGGCGGGATTAAATAAGATGACTGGACATTAAAAGAAGTGAGCGATTGGTCCATGTTTTAAATTTCTGTTCAGAAAAATTTGAACCTCGATTGGTCTCACGCAATCATATGATGCGATTTCGCAGGTCAGAGTTTACCAAAATTAAACTTTCCAATGCAGTGAACTGCGAAATTTACTGCACGACCTTACGTTTCTGGTCTGACGAATTCGCATGCACATGAATGCAAGTCTATAGGGTGAGAAGTGCAGTGTGACCGCAGCTAAACTCTCCAGGACACCGGCCCTCCAGGACCGAGTTTGGATACCCCTGTTCTAGTATATCTAGTAAGAGCTTGATTGGTTCAGGTGTGTTTGATAAGGGTTGGAGCTAAACTTTCCAGGACACCGGCCCTCCATGACCGAGTTTGGACACCCCTGGTTTAAAAGAATAAATTTAAATAGATAAATCTATCCGAACGTCATTACACTGTTCAAACCACATACTTTATGTAAAACTGACTCCTCCCAAAATGTAAACAAATAAACCTAAGAGCTTGTTATAAGCTATATGACGTACAAATATAGCAGCGATAATGCTATAATAAAACACAACGCAATGCCACAGATGACTTTGTCATATTGCTTGTTACACGCTCTCAGGTTTAACTGTTTACATTTCTGTTTACAACCATTTGAGTATTTAGATTTTTGGGTAAACTGTGTCTTTAGAGGGTGGAGCAGTGGGTAGCACAATCTCCCCACAGCAAGAGGTTACTGGTTTGAGCCCCGGCTGGGCCAGTTGGCATTTCTGTGTGGAGTTTGCATGTTCTACCTGTGTTTGCGTGGGTTTCCTCCGGGTGATCCGGTTTCCCCCACAGTCCAAAGACATGCGGTACAGGTGAATTGAATAAACTAAATTGGCAATAGTGTATGTGTGTGAATGCAAGAGTGTATGGGTGTTGGACATGAGCTGGATAAGTTGGTGGTTCATTCCGCTGTGGCGACCCCTGATTGATAAAGAGACTAAGTCGAAAATAAAATGAATGAATCCTTAGAAGTCTCAATAATCCTCGACCAGGATCATCTTGAGCAGCTGCTGTGGGGATCATAAAAGAGTGCAGAGCATGAGATTGATTCCTGAATGACCCCAGTGACAGACCAAGTGTCTGCATTGATCCAGTGGGCCGGCCTGAACACCCGCCGGTGACCTACTGACACCTCCACAATGGACATGCAGTGTTCTCCAGCCTCAGGCGCCTAGACTGCAGCTCTGCACAAGAAGTTTAGCCAGAAGAGAAATGGTCGTGCCCAACTGAGCCTGGTTTCTCTTGAGTTTTTTCCCCTCACTTTCGTCAATTGGTAAAGTTTGTTCCTCCACTGTCTTGGCTGGCTTGCTTGGTTTGGTACTTGTGGAGCTGCGCATCGATGGATTTGCTCTCCAGAGTTTGGACTTTCAGCAGTTCAACTCTGAAAACTGGACTGACACAGTCTATGCCATAGACTTCTTTGTTAAGCTGCTTTGACACAATCTACATTGTAAAAGCGCTATAGAAATACAGATTGATCTGAATTGAATTAATACCAGGTGTAAACAGGGATTTCGCTATCCCTGAAACTTTTAAGGCCTGTGCACACAGAGATTTCCCCTCAATGTTTAACGCCTCATGACAAAATAAAGGGCGTTAATGTGATCGTGCACACGAACGTGCAAAACGTCAGGCACAAAAGCGTCATTTAAAAAAAAAAAAAACACCTCATGCTCGTTTTTTTGTTTTGACGCGCCACATCTAAACCTTCTCCACCAATCAGATTGGTAGTTTTGTTCAAGTGCACGGAGCTGCTGAAGTAACAGTAAACAGCACTTGGAGGCAGTCAAGCGAAAAACTGTCAATGCGAGCGCACATTGAAGAACATGCCCAGAGGCGATATGAACGTGCAACTGCTTATTGTCCTGGTGAACAATAATCATTTCTTCATCGCTAGAGCTGGAGCTGCTGCTTGACCCATCCATGCTTGTTCGAATCACCAGTAACTTTAACAACAAGCGTGTGAACTTCAGTTGTTGCTAGATCGGATATGTTTGTGGCCGGAAGTTAACAAGAATAATTTGTATTATTTATAAATTTCCGATTTATTTTATTTTATTAACGTTTACCCCCAACCCTAAACCTAACCGTCACTGTAAGGTAAAAGCAGTAGTTGTACAGAGTATTATTTATGTTATCTATTAAATTACCCAATAAATTGTATTTTTTTAAAGCCTACCCCAACCCTTAACCCAACCGTCACAGTACTGTAAAATTAATTATTGTTATGAAGTTTCATTTTAAAAATGCTGCTATATTAATGTGCATGTCGCACTTCCAGCTAGCCGCGTATCCTATCTAGACTTTACCGTGAACTTCCTCTCTTCTGTGTTATAAGTGGGTGTCAGAAGCTCAAAGTTGTGTAGCGCCATCTAACGTCCAGGAGTAAAATCATACTCAGCATACTCTTCTGCTTGACACCCGTGAAACACACTTGGGTTTGAATCCCGAAAAATGACTCGTAAAATGCTGACAATAAACGCAAACGAAAAGCGTCCCGGCGTGTACGAGCCTTTAGTCTGTTTAAATGCACAACAATACTTCAGAAATCAATTCTAAATGTCTAGATTAAAGACCATCCAGTTTTTCTTACACGTTTTATAGTGTTTCCCGACAGAAAAGTCATGCAAGCATAATCATGCTGTGCATGTAAACACGTTTGGTTTAATTAATTGCGTAATACATAAAACAGAGTCAACATGCCTCATGTAAATCAATGTAAAAAATAAGATATGTGCACACATATTCAATTAGCTTTTACAAATAAGACAACTTTAAAACATTCAAGATGTGTGTCCTTTAAAACAGTGGTCCCCAACCTTTTTATCACCGCGGACCGGTCAACGGTTGTCAATTTTACAACAGACTGGTGTGGGCCGGTCTTCAAGTGAACACAGGTACTGCGCTCGTGCATCCAGGTTAACAACTCAGTGCGCATGCGCTAGTTGCACTATCGCGGTCTGATTATGTTTCAATCAAGGTTTATATGCATCAAATACATCACATCTGTGCCAAACATTTCAACTGGCGAACATATTAACAATAATACAACCGTATAGCCGAATTAAATGTATGCATTGGCATGTTACAGCCCTAATGAGCATGTATATGTGAAACTCCATACAGATACATATTGCAATGATTTCGGGTACTTACTTAGCGATGCAAGCACACATATATGCACAGTCCTTAAATGCTCTGCTGATTTGCACTCTATAATACCCGTTTTATAACTTTAAACTATCTACAACCACCACTGAGCGATATTCTAGTGATCGTTCCCGCTCGGTGGTGGATTTTGGAATAGTCCATTTCACGTGAGATGGCGGGGGTAAGTGGAAGAAACCAAGTTGCGGGGGGAATATTTTCTACACAAATAATTTATGATTTCTTATGTAGCCTAAATGTTCCGCAGACCGGTGCGGTGGTTGGGGACCACTGCTTTAAAACAATAGTGAAAAGGATGTGAGATTTCTGATAAAAATATGATAAAATACAGTCGTTATTTGTTTTGATTTGTTTATTTATTACAAAAGCTTCATACCTAAGTGTTTATGTGAATGTTCTTTGTATGTTCAGCTTTAACTGTTATTTTGGAGGAAATCATGAATCTTCTGACCTTGTGTGATGGCCAACCTGTTGATGTCGTATTTTCCAACCAAACAACCAATATACCACAACAACAGAAAACACGGCACATGACATACTTCCTGCTTGATTCTACATTAGCATTATAAATATATATATATTTTAACAAAAATAAAGCATCTTTCCACAGCCATCTTCCTATGACACCAATTTCCTATATCTTCTGTAGAGTATAAGCGAGAATGATACTGATAATACTTGCAGATCAACAAAGATGATGAGCCGTTCTTACATTGGATTATGCAACAGAGATGGTAGAGAGCAAGAGATATTGCATACATAAATACTTTAATCTGGCATAACGGCGGCATTGCGCTGCCTTCGGAAAGTTCATGGACAGAGCGCTTTGCTTCTTTCTAGAGGCACATTGGAAATCGCAGCTGAAATGTTCTGGACCCAAGAGGACTTGATAGAGAGCAGCAGCGTGAAATAGCGTCTTCTATTTAAGCGAGGTTATATGACAACACATCCTTTAATATGCTCTTCCACTTTTTGAGTCCATCCTTCAGGCCAATCTGGATCCAAAAACCCATCCAAAGCATGTGTGAAGTTCATGGTCTCTACAAACGTAGTGTTCTCCAAAAGACTTTCTCCTCATCCTTGACCTTTAGCAGAGTCATAAAGAACAGAGAAGCGACACAAACATAGTCTTTGTCAGTTTCGTTTCCGCCCAGTGTTTGACCACTTAATAATTAACCGAATACCAATCCCGTTTGTCTTCAGTGTTTGACAGAGTTCGTAGAAAGCACCTTTGGTGTTGTGTTTGTGTATAATGTTCCTCTGGATACAGTATCTTTTTTTTTTTTCGAACAGCAATGGGGTCTGAGGTCAAAGTCCCAGTGCTGCTGCAGTATTACGTAGACACTGTAGTCCTTCAGTCGCTCGCTTGATGTGGTTTCACCTCATGTCCACTAGAGGGAGAGAAAGAAAACAAAGAATGCTTTTAGCATGTTATCAAGCTTTATAATAGAGTCTTGATTTGTATTTTTTTCTTTAGTAAGACATGCAATTTGTGTTGAAGTGACACATCTCCACTGCAGTGATTGTAGTGTTTATTACAGAAGAGTCTGTGCACATTTAAGAAAGACACAATGTGGGCAATTATGTGAAAGGAACCATTTTTGTGATCAAGATCATAAAAACCATCAATCCACACATTTTCAAACGAGCTCTGTTCCAAAACCAAGCAAGCTGCCAAAAGCTAGACACCAGTTTAATGCATCAGATGAGCTTGCCTCATAGTCTGCTAGAGGAAGTACCCACTTTTTGGCATGCTCAATTTAATGATTTTGGTTACAGGATCTCCTTTCGAGGGAATAAAAGGGGATAGTTTACCCAAAACTGAAAATTCAGTCATACTTTACTCACGCTTGAGCATTTTAAGTTTTTTTTTTGTTTTTAATTCAGGGTGCACTTACACTAGAACAGTGGTGCTCAACCCTGTTCTTGGAGATCGACCTTCCTGCAGAGTTCAGCTCCAACCCTGATCAAACGCACCTGAACCAATTAATTAGGACCTGAACAGCACTTGATTATTACAGGCAGGTGTGTTTGATATGGGTTGCAACTGAAATCTGCAGGAAGATCGATCTCCAGGAGGAGGGTTGGTCACGCCTGCACTAGACTGAACCATGCCCAGGTGTATTTTCTGGCTCATTTTACAAGTGTGAGTGCTCCGAATCAGAACGCTTGTAATGTGAGTGCAAAGCCCAAAAATGAAACAAGATGTCACTTTTTATGGACTGTTTCATATGGATTTAGTAATCATTCTTACTTTTAATAAACTCAAATTGTTAGTTTATTAAAGATACGAACCCCCCTCCTGCATGTCAGCTGCGACCTTCAGCAAACCTTCTAATGCCTGCAGCACGAGGACATTTTTGATAATTTATGAGTGTAAAAAAGTTGTGGAAAATATTTGACTGAGTGTCATTGCATCCCAAACAACTAAAACAATATTACTAAAGCAATCTCCACTGTACTGAGCTCTTCTCTTCCTGTTAAACTGAACAGTTGCATCATTGATGACGCAAGCGTGCTCAGGTTGGGAAGATGCTGTGTGAGTGCAGGCCGTCAGGAGAGAAGGGAAGTGGGGACAATCGCGCTTCAGCATGATTCAAGGCAACTGTACCTAATGTGAGTACACCCAAACACTTTTTTTAAATGAACACACCACCAAAAATGCCCAATTTACAAGTCTGCTAGAGTTAAACAGTTGACATGGACCATTTTTGAATCCATTCAGCCAATTTCTTGTTCTGGCCGGGTCACTTTTAGCTTAGCTTAGCATAATAAATTGAATCAGATTTGACTATTAGCATTTTGTTCAAAACGAGTACATTGGGTACAAAAACGTGAAAATAATAAATAACTATTTTCTCAGCCAACTAGTATTTATACTCTTATTCTGGAGTAATAGACAAGAAACTCTGCTACTGAACCAGGTGAAGTGATATCAAGCAGCACATAAGAATGGTCATTTTTCTGAGGGTGTTACTTTAAATAAAAAATAAGGTATTTTTTTTTTTAGAAACCATTGACATCCATAGTGGGGAAAACAAATACAATTCAATACATGCCAGTGGTTAGATACTTCAGTACATCTTCTTTTGATAAGATACTCAAACTGGTTTGGTGCAGTTTTGGGTGAACTCTCCATTTAAATTAGCGCTTGCTTCAGAGTAATGTCTAGCCCAGACAAAGGTGCATTTACTGTAGGTAGTAAGAGGAACCTGAGTTGTGACTATAAAGTAGAAGTCTGCATCTCCAAATAAATTTGTAATTTGAACGGGAGTGGGCAGGCTAACAATATAGCACTCTCAAGTCCCAACGTTATTTTGGAACAGTTTAACTGTGATTTCCTCATTCTTATTAAGCACCGGTACCGCCAGTGCTCATGACTGTTACACATGGTGAATGCATGACCAGTGCTTTCTGCACATGTTTTTAAAGCGGGCTTTACCAACATGGGAGAGCAAAGTGAAGATGCGCAGTACCCAATTTTAACACGAACCTAACCTAAATTTACTTCAATTTAGCAGGAACGGTCGGGTCGGGTAGAAAACAGGGAGGGATGTGCAGCGGGTGAACAAAGTCTTAACATATGACAGGAGCAGTCAGGTGCGAAATAAAACCTTGCGGGAGCAGGACTACAAAATTACTCCCACGGAGATCTGTACTATAAGATAGCAACCAGGACAATTAGTTCTGGCTGGAATTTTCTTTTTGCTAATGTATATCACTGAGTTCCTATAACCCATGCAAAAGCCCCTATAATAGGGATCACCAAACTTGTTCCTGAAGGTCCGGTGTCCTGCAGATTTTAGCTCCAACCCTAATCAAACACCTGACCAAGCTAATTAAGGTATTACTAGAGCTGCGTCCCAAATTGCATACTTATGCACTATTCTACGCCATTTTGTAGTATAAATAGTGCAAGTAGTGTGTTCACACTTAAAACTCTAAAAATAATAAGTGCATTTTAATTACCCGGATGATGCGCTTATTCAACCGCTAAAATTAAGTGTGTAATGATGGACACTTCATGCACTCAACGACCGCAGGTTTGCTCACGTAGCGGAAGGGGCGGAGCGATCGGACGCACATGTTGAATACCTATTTATTTTGGATGATTAAAGCAAAATTCTCCTACGAGAGTGATTATAGCGCCTCCCGATGGTGAATGCGGCAATACTCACGGCAGGTATCATTTAATAAATCGGTCGTTTATTTCACTGATTTGGCAACCGTCAAACGTCATCAGGGAAACGGTTTGAATTTCCGATTAGTAAAAAAACATTAGTGTGCCATTTGGGACAACACTACATACATATACTATCCTGTTGAGTGTGTAAGTGCATAAGTACATAGTGCATGAGTGCATAGTGTATAGTGTGCCATTTGGGACGCAGCTTAGGTATACTTGAAACACCCAGGCAGGCGTGTTGAGGCAAGTTGGAGCTAAACCCTGTAGGGACACTGGCCCTCCTGGACCGAGATTGGTGCCCCCTGCCCTGTAAGATAATTCTAAGAGTATGCTCATAGTTGGCATGTTTGGTTAGATTAAAATGATCTCTTGTGCGAGCATCCCTCTGTTAGTCTGCCATTTGGGCCTTAATGCACTCCAACCAAGCAGACCGAGAGCCATCTTTTCAGCCACTTTTTTGGAGTGCATCAAGGATTGGATGGCAGCAAAGAAAGAGCTATCTACCCAAGTAGACAACAGACAGCAAGGCACCTAACTTGGTTTTGAATCAGAGCTAAATTATAGACATGGTGAACACAAACTGATTTGATGAACAAACACACAAACCCGTGACGCATGCAGCAAAGCAAAAGCACAGCACAGTGCACACATCTCTGGTTTTTAGTGTCATGTGACTCTGATTGGGCACCTTCCCTCTCTCCTGATTGGTTCATGCCGATGATTGGTTTAGAACTGGCAGCAGGTCTGTCCTACCTGCAGGATATTTTGGTCCGCTGACTGCTAGGAAATGTTTGCCTTTTATTGAATATCCTTGTTGATCAGTGCGGCCACTGCTTTCTTTCTGTGTTTCCGTTTTTTACGGTTTTTAACTGTGCGTGGGCCTGGAAACACAAGTTTGGTTGCAAGCAGATGATGGGCAGAGTTTTGTTGAGCAGATTAAAAGGAAAGCAGGAAAAGAAATAAAGAAAGAAGGAATTTATGGCCTCGGGGAGGTGTAAAACAGACTGTAATTGCACTTCATAAATATTTGAGCCGTCCAACCCTTTTATCTCGGCACACAAGAGCAGAAACCTGTTGAACCTGAACTCTCAGACACACTTCTACATGTTTCAGCATTCGCACACCTGCGTTTTTTTTTTCTTATCCATTCGATTGCATCATCGGCCAGCACAGTCAAACACAAGCTTGCACAAGCACTGACGTTTGGCAATAGCAGGCTGACCAACAGGTGTGTTTGATTGTGGTGACCGCACAATCCGAATAATCACCACAGATCAGGCCAAACATTAAGCATACGTCGCATACATACCTGTGTCTGCCTCCACGTGCTCTATCACGTGATGCTGGGACGTGCATATGCATTCCAGGTGATCCTCTAACCGGACCAGCACCTCCTTCAATTTCGCTTTCTTACGCGACGCAAACTCTACCTTCGCCACCTGGAAGAACAGAGAAAGACCAGGTTGGGTGAGAAATGAAGTGTATTTCACTCATATTTGATGATGTAGATTACAGCATGACCAATTATGCATGTCATTAGCATTAATTAGCATTAGCAATACCTTTGCCATACAGTTATTAACTAATTTTAAATGATGCGTTAGATTTGTACATTTTTTGGTAAATTGCGATAGATTCTTATGTTTGTAGGATTTCTACATGCTCAGTCATAGCTCAGCTTACACTAGTATACAGGATGTCCAATTCAGCACTTAATTAGCATTATTAGCAATTAGCAATAACAATACTGCTTACTCTTGCCATAAAGTTAAACAATTTTCAAATTATGCTGTAAATTCTTTTGTTTTTAAGGTACTACATGCTCAGTTATAGCCCAGCTTACACTAGCATACAGGACATCCTATTCTGCATGTCATTAGCATTAATTAGCAATTAGCAGTACTGCATACTTTCATCACAAATTTATTAACAATTTTCAAATTACGCAGAAGATTCTTATGTTTTTTTAAGGTATTACAATGCTCAGTTAAAGCTCAGCTTACACTCGCAAACAGAATGTTCAGTTCTAGATGACATCAGCATTAATTAGCAATAACAATACTTTATACTCTTGTCATAAAGTTATTAACGATTTTCAAATTATGCGGTATTCTTTTTTAATTCACTACATGCTCATTTATAGCTCAGCTTACAATAGTGTAGCGAATGTCCAGTTCTACATGACATTAGCATTAATTAGCAATTAGCATTAGCAATACTGTATACTCTTGCCATAAATTTATTAACGATTTTCAAATTATGCGGTAGATTCTTACATTTTTAGGCTACTACATGCTCAGTCATAGCTCAGCTTACACTAGCGTACAATCATTAGCATTAATTAGCGATTAGCATTAACAATATTGTATATTTTTGCTATAAAGTTTTTCAATTTATGCTGTAGCTTATAGTATTTTTAGGTTACTACATGCTCAGTTATAGATCAGCTTACACTAGCGTACAGGACATCCAACTCTGTACATCATTAGCTATAACTAGCATTACCAATACAGTATACTTTTGCCATAAAGTTATCATTCATTTATTCATATTCTTGTCGGCTTAGTCCCTTTATTAATCCGGGCTCGCCACAGCAGAATGAACCGTCAACTTATCCAGCAAGTTTTTACGCAGCAGATGCCCTTCCAGCTGCACTCCATCTCTGAGAAACATCCACACACACACACACACACACACACACACACACTACGGACAATTTAGCCTACCCAATTCACCTGTACCGCATGTCTTTGGACTGTGGGGGAAACCGTAGCACCCGGAGGAAACCCACGCGAAGGCAGGGAGAACATGCAAACTCCACACAGAAACGCCAACTGAGCCGAGGTTCGAACCAGTGACCTTCTTGCTGTGAGGCGACAGCACTACCTACTGCACCACTGCCTCACCCATAAAGTTATCAGCAATTTTCAAATTTTGCAGAAGATTCTTAAGTTTTTAAGGTATTACAATGCTCAGTTATAGCTCAGTTTACATCATACCCGTCAACCCTCCCGTTTTGCCCAGGATTCTCCCATATTTTACTGTTCTATCTTGCTATCATCCCATACAGGTATTTTCTCGTATTTCTCCCGTATTTTCAGTCTTTCTCTGAACAGCCGAGCCTCCCTAAACGCAACCCATACCGCCGAACCACCAGGGTTCGCCCCTTGCTCTTAAACGTGAGTCTGTTATGTGCTTCCGCTTTGTTTAGGAATGAAAACATGAAAACACTTTTAAATAAATATTAAAAACGGCGCGATTCCCGTTCCTTTTGATTACAGATGCCGTCGCCTATCTTATACAGTCCTCTAAACAGTCATATAATGGTGCATGACTGTCAGCTGACGTGCTCCATAGTGATAAACAGATGCTGTTTCCCAAATAGATTCTATACACGCGATTTGAAGCGGAGAGAAAGTCTGCAACACATCGCAATGTTGACAGGTATGGCTTACACTACCATACAGAATGTCCAGTTCTGCATGACATTAGCATTATTTAGCAATTAGCAATACTGCATACTTTTGCCATAAAGTTATTGACAATTTTCAAGTTATGTGTAAAGTTCTTGTTTTTAAGGTACTACATGCTCAGTTACAGCTCAGCTTACACTAGCATACAGAATGTTCAATTCTGCATATCATTAGCAATAATTAACATCAACAATATTGCATTCTCTTGCCATAAAGTTATTAGCATTTTTCAAGTTATGCGGTAGATTCTTATGTTTCTAGGATTTCTACATGCTCAATCATAGCTCAGCTTACACTAGCATACAGGATCTCCAATTCTGCACTTAGCATAATTAGCACTTAGCATTAACAATACTGCATACTCTTGCCATAAAGATATTAACGATGTTCGAATTACACGGTAGATTCGCACACTTTTAGGTAACTACATGCTTAGTTATAGCTCAGCTTACACTAGCATACTATACAGCATGTTCAATTCTGCACATCATTAGCAATAATTAGCATTAACAATACTGCATACTTTTGCCATAAAACTATTAATGATGTTCAAATTATGCGGTAGATTCTTACGTTTCTTGAGTTTCTTCATGCTCGGTCATAGCTCAGCTTTCACTACTAATCAGTCATAGGCAACAGTGGAAAAATTTGTCGAACAATTCCTGGGCAATCAGCCCAAAACAGTTACATGTTCCACTGTTAACGCCCCACTGCATCACACTAAACTCAAAATAACCACACGGCCTTACACAGGGGTCGAATCGTGGCTTTTGTTGTGCTAATTTTAAAGCTTAGGACTTTATTCGTCCACACTGTTTTGCTAAATGCTTGACAGTATATATTCAATGTTGTTTTGTGTAGGATTGGACCATTTCTGCATCTTGAGACTCTACATTTTTCCCCATTCCAAGTAACAACTCAATGTGAAAACATGTTGTGCGTGAATAGCATAGATGTTGTATATAAGAAGTGCTAACGTTTGGCACATTTTCAGTTACATTTTGAAGAGAATGTATGTATGCATACCCATTGATTGTTCAAAACAGGACTGTACATTTGCAAATGGTTGGATATGCATTCAAGTATGCACTTGTGTGTATTCTTCTGGCGTCAAACCAAATCAGTAAGTTCAACAAATGACTCACAGAGTGCAAATAAAAACTCAGTCTACCATGCGAGGGCAATTGGTTTAACATTATGGAACAAATGATGCAACACTTGGAAACTCCTGCAGAACCTATAGAGAAACTCCAAAGTTAAGGTAGGTGAGAGACAGTGAGACAGGCTGGTTTCTGTCACTCCGTCTATCCCGGTTGCTGGTTTATACCACTTTCTCTCTGTCCACTGCCCACCTCTCCCTCCTCTTGGACATTCTTGTGCTCGGTTATATTTACAGAGCCAAGTCTAAAACAGCCAGTGGCGTGCAAGAATGTTCTGCGACTGAGGATGAAGGCTGAGACAGACTCCGAGGGGCTTGAGAACCAGTCAGGGGGTTGGGTAAGGGGTTCAGGAAAGGGTCATAATAAGAAAAAAAGGACTCCCCACACCATCCTTTCCTGCTCCCGCCTCAATATTTCCATTCAAATTCAATCTATCATTGCCTCTGCATCTCGCTCTCAAGTCCAGCTCCACCAGGTCTGAACTTCACACATGCACTCGCCCACATACTCGAACAGGCTTTATAAAAAGACCTAAGTTTCTCAGGAGCCCCTTCCAAGCTCTATTTATAAGCTACTGTGCTTTACGCTGCAATGAAAGCCCTGCGAAATCCCAGCGCAGTGCACTAATGGTGTGACATCTGATCCAGCCCCGGCTCCAGCAACCCCAACCCCCTCTGACTCGCCCTGCGCTCTGTGAGGACTATTGTCCGGGGTTCGGATAATTGGCATTGGGATTTCCCTGCAAGAAAAGTTGATAAAGAAAGGGCGAGAGAAAGAACGGGCATCGGCAAAGGTGCATCATGGGTAATTAGCATGGGAACAATAGGAAACGGACATGTAGCCAGAGGACAGGCTGTTTTGTTGCACATCTGTCAGCGGGTAAATCTGACGACAAAACGCTGTGGCTGAAAAGCGAAACTGAGATGGCAGTCGGACGACTGGTGGGGCGACCCGAAGAGAAAGAGGGGTGTGGGGAGCAAGCGCTCTCATTGAGCGAGTGACAAAAAGAGGCCTGAACAGGAACAAGGGGTTCTGGGAGGAGGGAAAAGAAAAAAAAAACTTTTATCTCGTGACCTGCATGTCTAGAGTTACCGAAAGAGTACAGGCGAAATCTTTGCTGTAAGGCACACACACTGGCACTCAGACAATCACTAAGATAAGGAGAAAAAGGTGATCTAATCTGCACACTTCCTGTCACAGCCCTTTAAAAACGTCCCTAAACACTGTCAGAAAAGCGAAGAGTGAAAAGATGGAAAGAACACAGAATTGCAGATATGATAGCAATTACAGCCCACCACATTTGAGGAAAGGCAAACAAACAAAGAATGAAGGAGAGCAGATTGAGAGGAGGAAAAAAAAATCACATGAGTTTTTCGACTATATAGCATCATGCATTTTAACCTAAGGTCTAAAGTATACTTGATTTGCCAATGCAAGTACAGTAAAGTGAACAGGATGCAAATTTCAACACCAAAAGAGTACGTACATACTGCACATGCTTTATGTGCACTGCACAAATGATGCAAACCTGATTTCACCAAGTAGGACATGTTCCTGGATTAACATCTACAGTATGTTGATCCTGGAACAACATTCCAATCAGCCAATCAGAATTAAGGGATGTGTTTACCGTTTATGTTAAGTTTAGGCTTACGGTCAGGTTCATGCACTTCTATATGATTGTTATCCAACTGTTCTTCCCCTCTGATTTTGGGAGTAATTTACAGGTATGGTTGGGTTTAGGTGCAGGGATTACATTTTCGAACAAAAATGACAATCCAGGATCAACATATATGTTAATCCAGG